TTTTTTTTTTTTTTTCAGAACCGGGGATTGAACTCAGGCCCTTGCACTTGCCAGAGAAGCGCTTATTCCACTGAGCCATCTCCCCAGCTATTTAATTTATTTTTTATTGGCAGAACCGGGCATTGAACTCAGGCCCTTGCACTTGCCAGGGAAGCGCTTATTCTACTGAGCCATCTCCCCCTGAATATATTTATTGAGAGAAAGAAGGACAGGAGGGGGGCCCGAGCAGGTTGTTCCTCGGGAAGCTGTTTCTTCGAGGGACTTTTATAGTGTAAAACTATGCGGGAGGAAGGTAGAGAAAATGGGAACTCGCTTAGGTGGACAGGAGGTAGGACAAAACTATGGTCAGCCAATGGGATTACAAGCACCATTGCTCTGGTAAAATTAAGTCCAGGACCAAATGGGGAAGTGTGTCACATAGCAAGCGGGCATGAATGTAGAACAGGCTTTTTATCAGGTAGCTATCCAGTAGTAGTTGGATTAATGATTCTTGGTCTCCCTCAGGTTGATGATCAGGCTCCGATGCCAGTCTTTAGGGAGGTTAGCATTTGTTTGCTCTTTAGGTCTGGCTCACAGCAGAAGCATCCATCCCTCCCACAGTTGTAAGGTAACTTGTCTTTTGTGCTGTCTCCTTCGAGGGCCTGGCCCTGTCTGACTGCCTATAACATTTCTGTCTAACTCGGCTGCCTGCAACAATCCCAGCACTGAGGAGACTGAAAACAGGAGGATCACTACAAGTCCAAGCTGCGCAGTGAGACCCTGTACCAAATACATAAAAATCCAGGATATGTCGGGTGTTGTTGCATATACCTGTAATCCCAGCACTCGGGAGGCTGAGGCAGGAGGATGGCTCAGGGCAGCCTTGGCTGCAGAGTGAGTTCAAAGCCAACCTGAACTACATAGTGAAACCCTATCTCAAAAAGGCAAAATAAATAAAACAACTCAGCGTGATTCACCACTGAGCTCAGCCCCCCGACCCACCAGCTCTTTTGTTTTCTTCTCAACACTCACAGAGTTGTCCAGACTGGCCTTGAATTTGTGATCTTCCTGCCTCAGCCTCCTGAGGAGTTGGGGATACTTTTTTTTTTTTTTTTCTTTTTGTACTGAGGATTAAGTCCAAGGCCTAGGCCAGGGAGATGGCTCAGTAGAATAAGCACTTGCCTGGCAATTACAAGGGCCTGAGTTCAATCCCCTGTTCTGCCACAAAAAAAAAAAAAAAAAAAAAAAAAAAAAAAAAATCCACTGAGTAAATGTTTGGGGCTAGTGAGATGGCTCAGTGGTCTAAAGCACCTACTTAGAAGCTTTAGTTCAATCCCCCAGCACCACATGCCAGCCAGCCCCGCCCCCTGGTGGACTGAGCTGGACACACACACACACACACACACACACACACACACACACATTTAAAAAAAGTCCAAGGCCTTCACAATGAGCTATATTCCCAGCCCTTTTTACTTTTTATTTTGAGACCAAATCTTGCTAAATCACTTAGTTTCCCAGGTTGGGCTCAAACTTGTAGTCCTCTTGCCTCAGCCTCCCCGAGTGCTAGAATTATGCCCATGTGTCACCATGCCCAGCTTAACATTTTATTTTGAAATGACACAGACTTACAGAAGAGGTGCAGAAGGAGTACAGAGCGTTCCCACGGGCCCCCCGCTCCGCCTGTCCTGATAATGATCTCGCACAGTCGCAGGACAGTTGTCAAGCCAGCTGTTCACTAAGCTGCAGCCTCTGCTCCGATCTCATCTCTTACATATTCGTCTGCACCTGTTGCACTTGCTTTGTGTCCTCGCAGCCTTTGAGTTCTTCCTTGTCTTTTATGACCTTTTCTGACACATTAGAGCACTGTTCAGTTCACTCATAGAATGTCTCACAGCTGGTTTTGTCTCCTGGTTTTCCAAGATTAGGTAGCGGTCGTGGGTTTTTGGCAGGAGCACTGCAGAAGCACATGCCTTCCCTGGCGCACAAGGGTCAGAGCGTCTTACTCTAGCAATGTTGACCTTGATCGCTTGGGTTGGTTTGCTCATTTGTTTTTGGCGCTTATGCTACTGAGCCATCTCCCAAGGCCTTTTACTGCTCTTTCCATTTCTAATTATTTTTCATTTTATATATTTGATACAGGGTCTCACTATGCAGCTCAGACTTGTAGTGATCTTCCTGTTTTCAGCCTCCCCATTGCTGGGATGTCCCCATGCCTGGACTCATTTGGCAGCTCAGCACACCCTGGGGGCAGGTCCGCCCAGCATGGGGGACTGGGCATCGAACCCTGGTCCCTACACTTGACAAAGCAGGTGCTTATTCTACTGCGCTATCTTGCTAGCCCTCACTGCTTTTTAAATAAGATTTCTGAGAATATTTCTGAGAGTAGATGAACTGAAGTTTAGATCCTTCATTGTGTTGCCACCTGTTCCTGTTCCCAAATTTATGTCTACACTGAAAGCGAGGGGGGCGATCTCAGGCCAGGTATCTGATCCAAAGCGAACAGATAAGGCCTCGGTGCTGCTGACTGCACTGTTCCCTTGTCAGCCAGGAGAAGACGTGGGCGTCTGTCTGCGTGACACTAACATTCTCAGTGACTATGGTGTGGACAGGAAGGGGACGTAGACAACAGAGCTGTGTCATAGCTCTGCTCATAATTAGGGACCACGCCACCCAGTGTGGCACTGGCGTTGGCCTGAGACTACCCACAGAGCTCCCCACATGGTGACGAGCACCACACAAGGTCGCGCGGCTCGAGCAGAGGCAGTGGGGATGCCGGAAGCCCTGTGCTGTCCAGGCGGCCTCGCCCCTGGGGTCAGCGCTGCGCTCCTGTGCTTGTCACTCAGATGCTCCTGCCCCTTCTGAGTTCTGTACTTCTCCAGCATTGAATTGTGTGCCACATGCACAGCCTTGCCAGGCAGTGAAGCTCACTGGAGACCCTGTGCGCAGGGTTCCCCCGAACGTGTCAGGGAGGCACCATCTCCCTAGCATAGGCCCAGATTCCAGAATTGGGGAAATCTGGGAGGCTGAGGCAGGAGAATTTCAAGTTTGAAACCAGCCTGAGTGACTTCGTAAGATCCTGTCCTGAGAGAAAAAAGGGCTGGAGATATAGCTCAGTACAAAGCCCCAATTCAATCATCTGTACCACAAATAGTAAAAATCAAGTTCGCAGATGCCGGCTGTGGGAGCAGGCTTCACGAGGGCAGCGGTTTGGGCCTGCTGTATTAACTCTCTTCAGCACAACACTCCAAGCCGCTGTCCTTTTTCATGCTGAGAGGTGGAAACGTCAAGTGTTAGAAAGATGGCAGCCTTCCCTAGGACACACAGCCAGGCTGGGCTCTGGAGTGGGTGTCGCAGGTGTCTGTGGTCCAGCATCATGCAGTCGGAGCCGCCAGCAGCCATGGAGTCGTGCGTGTCAGGAGTGTGCTGTGCGGTGTGGCAGCTACCATGTGTGTGATGCTGAGCACGGAAAAGAAATTTTTTTTAACTTTTTTTATTATTTTTTAATGTATTTAGTACAGGGTCTCACTGCATGATCTGATCTGTGTAGTGAGACCCTGTAGACTTGTAGTGATTCTCCTGTTTTCAGCCTCCCAAGCACTGGGATTATAGGCGTGCGCCACCACGCCCAGTCTCAGTTGCTGTCTCAGCATGCCGGGGGGCAGGGCCGGCACAGCACGCTGGGATCAAACCCTGGTCCCTGCAGCTGCCTAAGCAGGCGCTTTAATCTGCTGAGCTATCTGGCTGGCCCCCAGAAAAGAAATTTTAAACAGAAGCACAAAACAGGTGCAGTGAGGAGCTGGACCCTTCCTAATGTTTCACTTAATTTGTGCACGAACAGCGGCTGGTGGCCAGTCTCTACAATGCTGCCCAGCGTGGTGCTGGGGCAGAGTGTAGCTGAGCTGTCTCCTCAGCTTGTTTCTGTCCTGAGGACTGCACGGCCCCCTCTCACAGGCATGTATGTGCTACAGGGAAATAAACTGTTCCCTGGGCAGAGGCCCTGTTCATTTAGAAGTTGTGCTTGTTTTGTTTTACTGTTATTCAGTGGTAGGTAGAAACTTATTCTCTGAAATAGAGCATGAATGTGGTGACGCACCCAGGCTGGTGTCCCGCACAGATGGCTCTGGGGCCTCAGGCGGCACCAGCAATGGGGCCTTCCTACCTCCTCGCACCTCTCCTGGCTGCTTTTGGATGAACAGCCAGATAATCGAAAGTCCAGAGAAGGGAGCAGAAATGAAAAACCTGTGGAGGTTGGAGGTGGCGGTGAACCCCTGTGAACTCCAGCACTCCGGACACAGGCAGGAGGATCACAAGTTCCAGGCTAGCCTGGGCTACGTAGAGATCCTGTCTTAAACAGAAAAGAGGGTTGGCCAAATAGCGGATTAAAGCGCCTGTTTAGGCAGACGTGGGAACCAGGGTTCAGTCCCCCCAGGGCCCGCTGAGACAGCGATTGAGACTGGGTGTGATGGCGTGTGCCTACTATCCCAGCTCTTGGGAGGCTGAACACAGGCAGACCACTACGAGTTCAGTCTGCATAGTGAGACCCTGTAGACCCATACAAAAGAAAAAAAGCCTATGCAGCTTGAGAACGGAGTGGCCCTCCTGTCATATTCAGCTATGTGGGCAGTGGGGGGTGGGGAGCTGGTGGGAGCCCAGGAAGGCTAAGGTGGTACACTGAAGGGATGCATGCTACAGGGCAGGGGGCCTTGGTCGGCTTCGCAGTCCCTGCCCCAGCAAAGCTGCGTAGGGTCTCAGCGTCAGCTTCATCATCCGTAGGAAGAGGGTTGAAAACTAAATACAAGCACCAGGGTGCCAGCTGCTGCCACACAGCTGCGATGCCGGTGGGCCACCAGGCTCCTGAAGCCTGCAAGCAGCGGAGCACAGCTGGCCGCTGACCTGCTGGCGCTCCCTTCCAGCAATTCCCTTTCTGCCTGATGTCTGTGAATATCACGCGCATGGCCATCCAGGCCTTGAGGGAGGAGTGTCTCTCCAGGTGAGTTCAAGGGAGACCCTGCCTTACCCTCCATTCTGTTCCCTGACAGCTCCCTTGGGCCTGGGTGGAGTCCCATGTCCGTCTTGCGCCCCATCTCCCCTCCTCCTACTGACCCAGCTTCCAGGCAGGTGGCCGGGCTAATGGTGGTGGCTTCTGGCCAGAGCTGGTATGGGATGGGCGGGTGGGCAATGGGTGTCAGAGGCTGAGCAGGCAGCCCCCTTCCCGCAGGGAGTGTAACCGGCAGCAGAAGGTCATCCCCGTGGTGAACAGCTTCTACGCTGCCACTTTCCTCCGCCTCGCACACGTCTGGAGGACCCAGCAGAAGACCATCTCTGACGCAGGCTTTGTCCTCAAAGGTTCGTTGTGCCCCTGAGTGTCCAGGCCCGGAGCCAGAGCCCGCAGTGTCCTCTCCCAAGTGCATCCGTGAGCCCACCCCCTTCCGCTTGCCGGGGAAGTGCTTATTCCACTGAGCCATCTCCCCCGACCCCCGGCCCCGGGCCAGGGAGATTGCGCCTACCTGGCAAGAGCAAGATCCCAGTTTGAACCCGGATACCGCAAAAGAAAAAAAGGGGGGGGGGGCGCTAGGAAATAGTTTTAAAAAAAAGCCTGGACGCTGCAGCAGTTGGAAGGACTCGTCAGAGCTGGGATTGACCGCAGGCAGGGTAATGCGTATTTTCAGGCTCCTGTCCGGTGTGCTCTCCACACTCGGTGACCCCGGTGCCTCTGTCGCGCCACAGGGGACGGGGCTCCCTGGAGCTGCTGGGCTTGAGGCCCTGGCCACGGAGCTGTGCCGAGCTCCCTAAGCCTCATGCCCCTCCTCTGTTCCAGACTTGGAAGTATGGGCCAAGAAGAATCCCCGGCGGTTGCTTAAGACCCTGGAGGTGTACCTGGCCCAGGTGTCAAAGGGACAGGCCTCCTTGCTGGGACCACAGCAGTGCCCTGGGCCCGACGGCCCTCGCGCCAAGGACCTGGCCTTCACGGGCGTATGTGAGCTGCAGCCTCACACCTTAGAAGACTCGGAGCTCCTCTGAGTGATGCTGTGGATTGACACACAGGACCTACTAGTGGCTGGGCCGCAGGGCCTCTGGGTGGCGCTCCTGGGCCCGGCTGGAAGAGGCGCACGCGGGCACTGGGCGCTGGAACCCTCCGCACCGGCTGCGGCCAGAGCAGAGCTTGCCCTGCCGCCGAGGGACCAACCAGTGTCTGGTCTCGTCCCCAGCAGGGCTGCGGGGATCGCAGAGGGACTGGGCTGGCAGCCCTATCTGGACACTTGTACATTCCACTCGGAGGGAGATTCCCAAGTAGAAGCAGCCAGGATCCCAAGTCCCCAGGAATCCTCAGGCCCCTGGTGTCTGTGGTTGGAATTTGAAGAGGAAATAGTGTAACTACAGCCGCGGCCAGCAGGGGGCAGCACAGCCTGGGGAAGGCTGGGCCCTCGTCTCCTGTAATCCCTCCAGGGTTAGGGTGCAGAATTAGGCCCAGAGCTGGGTACCCCCACCCCCGGGACCCCCACCAGCCGCCCACATCTGGGGCTTCAGCGGTGGAGGGTGCTGGGTCCCCTGAGGGTGTTTTCCAGCCTGGGTGAGGGAAGGGAAAATTTGCTGCACCCCAGCAGTCTTAGAATAAAAGAATTGTAGTGAAAGGTCGCAAGTGTTGTCTTCGTCCCAGAACCTGCTTAGACCAGGCAAAGCCGCCCCTGCTCCTGTTCCCAGGAGGGCTGTGGCCCTGGCTCTTGGCTGGTGTGGCATCCATGCTGGGTTTGCCCACATGGTTCTGGGCATCTCAGCTCTGCTGTCCTCACTGGAGGCAGGGTGATAAATGGTCACTGTAGTGCACAAGGGAATACCCCAACTTCTGTCTGCAGGGTCACCCTGCAGGTCCCCCCAGGACGTCATGTAGGTATGATCAAGAACAGGTACATATTTTAAAATTTTTTAAATGTATTACAGTAAAAGACATTGCCATTAATCTTCAGAAATAACTCGTGCGTCAATTATTTTTTTCTTTTCTTGCTATTGTTCTTGTGGCTTTCTGTTGGTTTTTGAGACAGGGTCTCACTGTGTAGTCCAGGTTGGCCTCAAACTTAAACGGAATCCTCCTGCCTGTGCCTCCTCAGTGCTAGGACTACAGGCGTGTGCCGCCACACCACCCTCAAATGGTGAGCAGCTCCTCAAATCCCCTCATGTCTTTATAATTTGAATCAAAAACATAGTGAATGCTCCTGCCACGCACAATTCAGCAGAAAGGCAGCCTCAAAAAAAACATAGTGTTCTTGTTACTGGGTCTGGCACTGCATGACTTCTGGCTCCTTTAAGTCAAAACGAGCATGAAAAGTAAATGTTTTGAGTCAGTCCGGGACATGGAGGCAGGACTGTTGCAGCTGAACACACTCACGAAGGAGCACTTTCAGAACTGCTCCAGAAAGTGGCAAGAAGGCCGGGCTAAGTGTGTTCAAAGCAAGGGGGAAGACTGATGGGTTCCGCAGCAACGTGCCTCCCTCGGGACCCTGCGCTTGCAGGCTGGCACCTACGCCACTGAGCTTTATCCCCGGTCCTTGCACTTGCCAGGCAGGCACTTAGACTGCCACACTATCTCCCCAGTGAGCAGTGTGCCTAAGCAGGTGCTTTAGACCGCTGAGCTGTCTTGGCAGCCCCCAGCAATGTGACTTTAAACCTGAACCATTCACCATATTTCCCTGCTATCCCACTGAGCTGTGCCCCAAACTCACTGGAAGCTGCCTCCTGGGGCCTCTGAGGCCCGAGGAAAGGCCTGCTTGGATGGAGACGTGTCCTGAGCCCACAACCACAACTGTCCTTCCAGGACTGTGAGGCTGAACTGAACTCCAGGACACAAGCGACCCCAAGCCTGGCACTGGCCAGCCCTGAAGTGCCCAGCAATACCTACTGGCCCAGGGACTCGGCTCCCTTTGCCTCAGGCTTGCAAGGCCAGTGCTAGCTCTGCTGGGCCTCAGCCCCCTGGGTAGGGAGGAGCAGGGTGACAGGGACTGGAGCAGAGCTGGGAAGGTGCTTGTTTCCTTTATTGCACACTGGCTGGGTATCGGGAGGCAGAGAGTGGGTGGAGGCACAGGCAGGAGCGCGGGGCGGGTCACTTCCAGTCCTTGAAGAATTGCTTGAAGATGGGACTCTCTCGGCCCTGGGGAAGGATCTCCACCTGCAGGACAGGGCGAGAGGTCTGGTTCACAAAGGTGTCACCCCTGCCTGGCTGGTGAGAGGTACCGGGCACCAAGCCAGAGTCTGCATGCATCTGGGCCAAGGGAGGGGACACAAAGTGACAGTGACACAGGCTGAGGAAACGGGTTGCTTTCAGACTTGGGCACAGGCAGGCCTGACAGCACACACCTATAATCACAGCAGTCAGGAGGGTGAAGCAGAAAGACTGACAGGAGTTCAAGGCCAGCCTGAACTACACAGCAAGACCCTGTCTCAAAAGCAAACAAACAAAAACCTTGAGTAAGCAAGGCATGGTGGAGCATACCTGTAATCCCAGCCCTCGAAAGTTGAAGCAGAAGCATTGAAAGTTCAAGACCAGCCTGGGCTACAAGCTACAAAGTGAACTCAAGGCCAGCCTGAACTGCATAGGGAGACCCTGTCTCAAAAAGATAAAAAAAAAACAAAAAACCTTGGGTACATACTTTGATGCTACCGTTGACTGCAGATGAGCCATGTAGGAAGGACTTAGCAGCCAGCCTGCTGGAGCTAGAGGAAGCAGCAGCCAGGAAGAGTGGCCCAGACGAGCACAAGCCACCTAAGTCATTCAAAAGCACACCTACCTGGGCATGGTGGTACACACCTGTGATCCCAGCACTCAGAAGTCTGAGGCAGGAGAATCTGTACAGTTGGAGACCAGCCTGGGCTACAAAGTGAGCTCAAGGCCAGCCTGAACTGCATAGCAAGGCCCTGTCTCAGAAAGACCAAAAAAAAAAAAAAAAAAAGAAAAAAGAAAAAAGGAACACCTAGCTTTTAGGGCTCAAGGATAGCTCCCAAACTCAGGGAGGGCTTCATGGCACACACTATAATCTCAGCACTCAGGAGGCTGAGGCAGGAGAAGCACCACAAACTTGAAGCCAGCCTGGGCTACATAGTGAGTTCAAGGCCAACCTGAGCTACATAGCAAGACCCTGTCTCCAAGAAACCCAAAAAAGAGAAAGAAAATAAGAGCTTTTAAATATTGAAGGATTGGGAGGGGCCTTCCTACAGAGTAGGTGTAAGCAGGGGGCCTCACTGTTCCCCAGTGTCCATAGCTCTCCCACCCTTTTGTCCATCTGCAAGGCATGGAGGCCACAGGACGGGCCCGGGAGTGGGGCTGTGGACCGGGGCGTCTCCTCACCTGAGTGTTCGATGCATACTGCATGCGGGAGATGAAGTCCTCGGCCACTTGGAGGGCCGCTTGTCGCTCCTTTTCATTAGCTTTTCGTCCTGGAACACAGGCAGGGTAGGTTTCAAAAAAGTCGAGCCCCTCTTCAGCCTTCATCCCATTTTTCTTAAACTCTACCCCCACTTTGGGGGATTGAACCCAGGGCCTTCACTCTGAGTAACATCTCCAGTGCTGTTTTATTTTGAGACAAGATCTCACTAAGTTGCTAAATTGCCCGAGTCGGGCAGCAATATGTAGTCCTCCTGCCTCGGCCTCCTAGAGTACTGGGATTATGCCGGCACTACCATGCCCAGTGCTTGAACTTGCCACAGAGTAGCTGGCAACTTGAACAACTGTGAAGCTAATGAGCTTGGGAGGATGAAGTTGGCCCCCCAAACTTCTTCCAAATTGGCAGCTTGAAGCTAAATGCAAACTTCTCTTTTGCCCGATCTGATCAGAACCTTCGGCTCTGCAGCTGGGTGCGCACTGTGGCAGAGGGCTTGCCCTGCAGGCAGGAGACCCTGGGCTCTGGCCCCAGTGCCACGAAATCCACAAGCACCTTCTGCTCTGACCAGGCCTCAGAGATGTTTTCAGCAAAAAATGGGTGTTCTTTTTCTTTTCTGGTGGTTCTAGGGATCAAACTCAGGACCTTGTGCTCTCCAGGCAGGCACTTATGCCACTGAGCAAGCTCCCCTACTCCTTTTTTTTTTTTTTTAATAATGAGTTTTCTCCTGCACTTCAAACTAAGACCAAAGACCCGTCCTCCACCCCCTCACCCCCGTCTGCCATACTGTTTGCCGGCCTCTCTTGTAACACAAAGCAGGACAGACGGTTTCTAACAGAGGTGAGCTGACTGACTCCCAGTGCCAGCAGCCTGCACTGGCCTAATGGCTGTGCCAGTGCGCTGCTTCTAAAAATGAAGCTCAGCCGCTATCATGGCACAGACCTGTAAATTCCAGCATCTGGGAGGCTGATTCAGGGGGATCTCAAATTCAAGCCCAGACTGGACAACACAGTGAGACCCTGTCTCAAAAAAGGGCTAGGAGGGGCCTGGGAGATAGCTCAGTAGAATAAGTGCTTGCCTGGCAAGCACAAGCACCTGAGTTGTAGCTCAGTTTAAAGGCCCTGGGTTCCCCCCCTCCCCCAGCACTCAAAACAAAACAAGCCTGTGGAGAACGCATCCACTTCCACAGTAATGAAATTGCTCCAGCAGAAGGCATTCTCCCATGGAAACTGCCAGGAGTGCTGGCTGCTTTCTGGCCAGCTATCAAAATCCCAGTAACTCTGAGGTAACCAAAACGCGCCAGCTGTGGTGGCACACAGCTGTGATCCCAGTACTAGGGGCTGAGGCAGGAGGATCGCCACAAGTTCAAGGCCCGCCTGGTTATACAGTGAGACCCTGTCTCAAATCAGACAACTGTCCTTCCACTGTGAGGTGGTCGCTGCACCCCTACTCACAGGCACTTCTCTCCCTGGCCTCCTGTGTCTTGTTTCTCCTCTGGTTTCTCGTTCTGTAACACCTTCTTGCTTGGGGTTGGAGATGCTCCGGTGGGCCTGCGGGAACCCTCGGTTCCATGGAGTTCAGCCCCTCCACAGATGTCTCTCCAAGTTCCCCTTTGTCCTGTCCCCACTGGTCAGGACACCTGGGTGTGACCTGCCTGAGTGCAGCTGGCCCTAGACACAGCATCTCACCTTGCCTGACCAGGCTGGGAGCTGGTTGTTTCTTAGCTTCCATTTACTGTACAGCTATTTAACAGTGTTTTTTCTTATTTATTTATTTATTTATTTATTTATTTGGTTCAGGGTATGGCTATGCAGCTTGGACTCATAGTGATTCTCCTGTCTCAGCCTCCTCAGCACTGGGATTACAGGTATGCACCACCATGTCCAGTTTCGGTGGACGACACGGCGCACCCAGAGGTTCCGGGGCCAGCTAGGTGCACTGCACAACTATTTATTGAGCAAATGCTACTTCATCAAGCCTCTCATGTAAACACTGTTCCTGCCTTTGAGAATTTCTAACCTGGCAAGATAAGCCAATCAAACTAGGTGCAAAGGAAGGAAGGAAGGAAGAAAGGAAGGAAGGAGAGAAAACAGAATGGTTCGGCGACATAACTCAGTGGACTAAGCGCTTGCTTAGGCCCTGCCCCCAGGCTCACTGAGCCAGCCACCCAGATCAGAGGGTGCGATGGTGTACACCTGTAATCCTAGCACTAGGGAGGCTGAAACAGGAAGATCACTAGAGTCCGAGCTGCACAGCAAGACCCTATATCAAATACATTTTAAAAGAAAAAGAAAAGAAGGGCAATGAGGGAAAAGTGACCAGGCTCCCAAGATTGCACAGGCTCTAAATGTGGTTACAACATTTTCCGTGGTCTAAGTGAACCAGACAGGCTTTCTGCAAAACAGCATTTCTCTTTCTTGCTGATATAATCTCTTAGAAAAACAAGTTCTACGAGTCTACTACCTGCTGCATAAAGTGATTTTACCTAAAATCTAACCCTGTCACTCCTGGGAGGCAGAATCCCAGGATCAAGAGTCCCAGAGCCCTAAAGGCCCAGGACTGGGCTAGGCCAGTGGTTCTCAAACTGTGGTCCTGGAACCCCACAGGGCACCCATGGGGAGCTGGTGCCATAGGCACAAGCTCAGCCCCACCGCAGACCCAGCAAACAGAAAGTGGGGGTAAGGGTGGGTAGGGTTGTGTGTTGGAGCAGGCCCCAGACACTTGGAGGCTGGCTGTGCTTTTGGGACTTCAGGGTGGCGACAACAGAGAGACCACCATCAGACAGGCAGGATCTTCAGAGACCACAGCCTGGTGCAGGGAGCCCACCTACCCTTCCAGATGTAGATCTTGCCACAGAGCCCGTTGTCCAACACAAAGCAGTCATCGGGTATCAGCAGGTCAGAGCCAAAGGGGCTGGAGTCGGCCACCTTGGTGAGGTGCATCTGTCCAGTTGCATCGGAGACCTGGGGAGGCGGCACAAAGCTGGATCTGAGCCCCACGCCAGCCTCCCCTGCCACCTCGGCCCAGCAAGGAGCCTGCTGCACTCTGCCTCCACCTGCAACCCTGGCCCAAGCCTGGTACGTTTGGAAGTGAGCAGTTTCAACCTACAAACACACAGACAGAACTCCACAGGAGTAAAGCTCAGTGGTGGCTTCAACGAACAAGTGGTGTTATCTCTTTCAGAAAGGCCACTGATACCCCTACCTCAGTCTTCTCTAGCCTTGCATATGCCTCCCCGCCTCCCAAGGTCTCCTCAGCCTGGGACCCCCAGCTGCCTTGGGGAGTGCCCACCCCTAGCTGGTCCAGCACCCACCTTGTACAGAGCTGCAGCCTGAGCGTTGGTCTGGTCAGCTCTGAGGTCCTCCTCAGGGTTGCCTTCCTTCAGCGCAGGCTTGGGGCCCAGAACCTGCAGCGACGGGGCAGCCTGGGTGTGCTGTGATTCCTGCCCCCAAAAGCCACTGCTCCCAGGGCCACCCACTCCAGAGGACCACACTGTCTGTCCACCTAGGTACCCTGCAAGCTGGCCACAGGCTGAGCAGAGTCCCAGAGGCCCTGCCTCCCCTCTCTCCAGCCCATCACTGCCCCTCCTGGGCTTTCTCAGAAGCAGATGCTCCCAGCCCTCCTCCCTAGGCCCCAACCTGGATCATCTCGCTGGGCTCCTCCCCGTCGGTGACGATCTCCACCTGGGCCTTGCCCTGCCGCTCACTGTCCCGGATGGCCAGGGCCAGATCCCGCGCCTTGTTGCGCTCCAGGATGTTGGACTTTCCCCCACACCAGGCGAAGATGTTCTGCAGGGAGCAGGACATCTGGTCAGGGCTAGCTCTCCAGGCCCTGCCCTACCTAGCTCAGGGGAAAGAAGGGCCCTCTCTGCCCCTTGCTTTCTCCAAATCAGGGCAGTCAAAAAGGCAGAGCAGGGTTGGCCAGATAGCTCAGCAGACTAAAGTGCCTGCTTAGGCAGACGCAGAGAGTGGGGTTCAATCCTGGCACCACAAGCCATGCTGGCCCCACCCCCAGGGAGCGCTGGGATGGCGACTGAGACTGGGCGTGATGGTGTACACCTGTAATCCCAGTGCTTGGGAGGCTGAAAACAGGATCACTACGAGTCAGATCTGTGCAGTGAGGCCCTGTAGACCCTGTACTAAATACATAAAATTTAAAAAGAAAAAGGCAGAGCAGAGAGGAGAGACCTTTGAGAAGGGCGGTGACAGCGCTCTCAGGGCACTTCCTGCCTACCTGCCACCTCATTCCATTTTGTTTTGGTCTGTTTTTGCTTGAAACAGGGTCTCACTATGTAGTTTAGGCTGGTCCTGAATTCCCAATGTAGTCCTGGCTGGCCCCAAACTCATGGCTGGGCCTCCAAAGTCCTGGGGTTTCAGACATTTGCCATCACACCTGGCTTGTCTTGTTTTAAAAAATCTACACTGCTTATTGCTTATATTTAAAACCTACCTCAGCTGGGCATGGTGCATGCCTGTTATTCTAGTATTTTAGGAGCCTGAGGCAGAAAGATCGCAAGTATGGTTAGCAATTTAGAGTGAATCTATCTGAAATTTTTTTTTCAAATAGCTGGGAGTTTATAGCTCAGTGCAAACACCTGGGTTCATCCCCCAATAACACAAAAGTAGTCTAGTTCCTCTTTCTCAAAACTAAGCTGCAGTGCAGGAAGTTTTAGTTTTATTTTGGTCACTGTTATATAATCACTGCTAAAACAAAGCTGGAACAAGTTTGACCAAAGAAATACACACTGAATGAAAGACTGGATGAATGGGTGAGTGGGTGAGTGAATGAATGAGTGATGAATGAATGAGTGAATACGTGAATGAGTAAATATGTAAATGAATGGATGGGTGAATGAGTAAGTGAATGAATGAATGAACGAACAATGGGTGAGCGGGTGAATGAGTGAATAAATGGACGGGCGAGTGATTGAATGATGAATGGATGGGTGAATGGGCAAGTGAATGAATGGATGGGTGAGTGAATGCCACACAGGCAGAGTGCAGTGTCTCCCTCCCATCTCTCCTGACTGCCAAGGGCAGTGCAGTCGTGAGCCATTTCACCCTCCTCCTCCACCACATGGAGTCCTCTCTACCAACTGCTCCTGAATTCACCTTCTAGCTGCAAACCTTCATCAAGACTTGGGAAACATTCAGCATCCTCACGAACCGGCTCTCACATCCATAGCCAAACTGCCCCACTGCTCCTGTCCCACACCCAGGGCTGTTCACATTCTGGTCTCCATCCTTGTCTGCATCCTGACCCTGTCCCCTCAGCTATATGACCGCCCCCCCCCCGAGGTTCTGGGACACCTGGCTTCAGCTTCGGGCAAACACCCCCTACCCTGAGTGTCCCCTGTCTGCTGATGCCCCTGTCACACCCTGCTATGGGTGACAGCAAGAGATTGGCCCACCCTGGCTGCCTCTGTGTGCTGCCTCAGAGAGCATTAGGGTCACAGAATGAGTGGGTAAGCGCATCAGCTAGTGACATGTGTGGCAAACAGCTAACTTGCAGCCACAAAAGCTTCCAAGAGAAGGGGGAGGTGAGCTCCAGAGCCTTAGAGGCAACAGCTGGATTTGGGGGGCTGGATTCTGTCCTGACAGTCAACCCTCTTCATTTGTGTGCTCCACCAGAGTCAACTAACTGAAAATCAAAAACATTCAGGAGAAAGCCAAGTGTGGTGGTGCATGCCTATAATCCCAGCATGGAAGAGGCTGAGGCATCCGGAGAAGCACCACAAGTTTGAGGCCAGGTTGAACTACATAGCAAAACTCTGTCTCAGGAAAAAAAAAAAAAAGTCAGAAAAAACTGTATCTCTACTAAACATTGTTTTCTTGCCATTATTCCCTAGGCAAAACAGGGCAACTATTCACACAGCGTTCATTTTGTTGTAGGCTTTTTTTTTTTGCGGAACCAGGGATTGAACTCAGGCTTGCCCGGCAAGCACTTATTCTACTGAGCCATCTCCCCGGCCCCTGTTGTAGGTGTTATAAGCCATCTAGCAAAACCTGTCTGTAATCTTTATGGGGTTTGTGATTTAGTGAGACCTTGCCTCAAAATTTAAAACTGGAAAAAGGACGGGGTGGGGATGTTCAGGCATGGTGGTACACACGTATAATCTGAGTACTCTGGGAGGCTGAGGCAGGAGGACGGCAAGTTCAAGCCTAACCTGGACAACTCAGTAATTTAACAAGATCCATCTAAAAAAAAGGAACAGAAAGAAGAAAGAAAGAAAGAAAGAAAGAAAGAAAGAAAGAAAGAAAGAAAGGTTTACATGTAAAGATAGTATTTTAGGTTTCTGTGCACCTGGCCGAGGTCCAGGATGAAGCAGTCCCCGGTGTTGAAGCTGTCCCAGGTCAGCGCCCGCTCAGTGGCCCGGATGTTTTTCTTCCCCTTCACTTGGTAGAGTTTCTTGATGGCAGCGGGGGCGGTCCCTGGCGAGGTCTTATGGAACGCGGAATCCACGCCACCTTCCTGCAGCCAGAAGGCGGGCCTTAATGGGGCTGCATCCCTTTCCACTGGGGGGCTGCAGAAAGGGCCCCAGCTCCAAGGGCACTCTGGACATCCGACCACAGGACACCAAGCAGGGGGCAGGGTGGGTGCTGGGCGGCTCTCACCTGGTACTTGATGCCTCGCGGGAAGTAGCTCATGAAGAGGTCAGACTCGTTGCCCTGCACCTCGCGGTGCTGCACAGGCCGCTCCCCTAGTAGGGTGTTGAGGTGCACGGCCAGCACGGCGCAGGCACCCTGCTCATCGCGAGAGGACTGCTGGCCTGTGACAGGAGGGAAGTTGCAGGTGAGACCCTTGAGACCCCACAGGCATGCTGCTCAGGAATGCACCCACCCTTACCTATCCACAGGTGCAGGTGTGAGAGCTCTTCCGGGCCATTGTGCAGCACCAGGTAGGAGTCCCCCGAGAAGAAGACGCCCTGGTTTTCGGGGGCCACAGGCACGGGCTTCAGCTTCTCCACGCGCCATATGTGCAGGCCGGGAGCCTGCACGGAGGCTGAGAATGGGGAAGCGCTGTGGGGAGAACGGAGGACTGGGGTCAGAGCCAGTGGGGCGGCCCAGTCAGGTGTGGGAGGGGCGGGCACGCTACCTACCTGGGCGGGATGGGTGTGTACATGCTGCGTCCAGATCTGAAAGACAGAAGCCACCATCACCCAAGTGTGTGACACGCACCTCTCATGTGGGCCATGTGGCCCCAGGTGGCCAACGCCCTTCAGACTCAGCAGCTACCGCCTGGCCACCAGAGAAAAGTCCTGGTTCCATTACACAAGCGAAGACCATAAGGCTGAGACAGCCTAAGCCCCAGGTCCCACAGCTACTGAGTGGCTCATGCAAACCTGACCTCTAGCCCCTGAGTGTGACCTGTCACCCAGGTCTCCTGACCCTGGGTATTGCACAAGGCTGGGACACAGTTCTCTAGGCAATACACAAATGCTTGTACCAGAGAAGTCTGAAATCCGTGACTTGGCTGGGTATGGTGGGCCCCAGTACTCAAGATGCTGAGGCAGAATTGCTATGTGTTTGGCCTACATTGAAAGACCCTATCTCAAGCAACACATTTTTTTCATATTTTTAATAAAAAATAAAATTAATGACTTAAGTGTCCACCATAAAAAGAGAAAAAAATAACTAAAAAAAATAAATAAATCAAAATTAAAAGCAGCAATTAATAAACAAACAATGGATAAGAACAATAACAAAAAAGCAACAAAACTGATTTGGACTTCAATCCCCAGGTTCCATTAAAAAAAAAAAAAAAAAAAACTGACTTGGGGGGTTTTGTTGTTTTTGAGTTGGCCTAACTATTTAGTCCAGGCTGGCCTCGAACTGAAACTGATCTTTAAAAAATAAATAAATAAATAAAATAAATAAATCAGGGCCAGGGAGATGGCTCAGTGGAATAAGCGCTTCCCTGGCAAGCGCAAGGGCCTGAGTTCAATCACCAGTTCCGAAGGGGGAAGAAAAAAAAAAGCAATAGAAGGGCCGGGGAGATGGCTCAGTAGGATAA